AATTATTAATATCAAAAATGTATTATTTTTGTATATTTTTACATATTTTGTTAAAAGGCCAAATAAGGACTTCAAATCAAATAAAAAGTAATTTTCTGTTTTGTTTCATTCTTGGATCGGGCTTTAAAGGGTTAATAAGATGATTTGCCAATGAAACGAGTATTTTTAGTCTTAAAGTAAGATAATATGGACTTGAGATAAGGCTATGCAGTCGGGGTTTTTTTTATTATTTTAAATGTAAACTGTCTTGTTCCATTGGCAAAATTTCTCACTTTCCTCCTCAATTCAAGAACAAATGCACTTATTTTAAGAAAAAAATGACTTGTCTAGATTTCGATTTTTATTCCAGTGCGTCACAGGTAGCCAACAGCTAACTAATACACTGGAAAAATCATCTAGAAACAAGAAAAAAATACTTAAATGAAGTGTGTTTACCCTTAATTTAAGCAGGTAAATGAGATAGTTTGCCACTGGAATGAGTATTTTCACTCTTAAAATAAGATAATTAGATAATATGCACTTGAAATAAGACAATGCAGTTGTGTTTTCTTATTTTAAATGTAAATTGTCTTGGTCCATTGGCAAAATGTCTCACTTTCCTCCTCAATTCAAGAAAAAAAAATGCACCTACTTAAAGAAAAAAATGACTTATGTAGATATACATTATTTACAGTGTAGAAGTATAAACGCTTAGATTACATTTCCAGGCTGCGTCATCCACGGGGGAAATAAGGAGTCAATTATGATTTCCTATCACTTGTTTTTTTGTTTTTTTCATCCTTTAAGGATGGAGTGTTTAAAAAGCATAAGATTTGAATGAGATTTGAATGTTACCATGACAACACAAGGTTCTGATCATTTGAACCTGTTCCCGACAAAGACTATAGAAAGATGTAAACTAGAGCCATTCTGTTCCTCGTCTGTTTACCTGCAACCCTGACCCAATCCCTGGTTCCACTTTAAAGTTTCTTTTCTTTTTGCAGCTTATTTTTCTATTTTTCTATCATTTATGGTTCTAAACTGGGTCAGCCCTTCAGTTTCACTGGATCAGAGGCATCTGTGGTACATCTGGAACAAAAGTTTATAATGAACCTAAAGCTTATGTGCAACAATAAGGCAGAATGACAGACCCATTTAGGGCCAACTAAGATCAAATCTAAGAAAAACATTGACAAAGTAATGGCACCACTGCTGAAGATCTAAAAACATTATTAGTTATCTTTAATCTGGTCTGGTTTCTGTGAGGTTTTCAGAGGCGTCAAAAGTATCCATATTTATTTCTCCAGTATAAAACCTACTGTTTAAAAATGCTTTTGTAGAATTTAGTATCAACTTAAGATTTCTAATCAAGTAAATGTCTTAAAAGTATTATTTTTAAAACTAAGTAAAATATAAAAGTAATGCAGGAAAAAACTTAAAATGCTTTACTGCTCTGCCCTATTAAAGGGACATTTTTCTACCTTTCTGGATGATAACTTCCTTAGACTTCATTTTCTTAGTTTTATAACTAATGGTAACAGTGTCACATTTAACTTTGCATCATCTTGATAAACTATTTTTTTTTGGTATATAGTGAGCAACAAGTTGGGGCAGCACCGAGTCCAAAACAAAGAAATCAATTGTCTTGATGAAACCAGTTATTTCTTTTTTACTACCAACAGGCCATAATGTAAACTAACTGGTCTATTTTTAAAATATAAGGAGCAGAAGTAACAAGTTGTCTAAAAAAATAATTACTCCAGTAAAGTATAGATGGCCGAGTAAACTAAGTAAAGTAATAAAGTATTTGTACTTTGTTATTGGACACATGTGGAGGTTTCAGACATACCTGGGATCTTTGATTAAAAGTTTCATGATGAAATCTTTGGCCATAGAGCTGGTCATGCTGAAGTACTGCTTCTCAAAATGATAATTGGTAGCGATGACGTTCCTCAGAGTCTCTTCATCCGTGTCACCTTGGAACGGAGACAAACCACTTAATCTGAGGGGGGAGAGCACAGGATTAGAGGGATTATATGGTGGGAATATCCCCGTTATCCCAGCATGCGCCTCATGCATCTGAATCATTAACTGTTTTTATTGAATTTATCAAAGTAGGTCAGACCTTTACGTTAAAAGCCGGTGAAATATTCTATCATCTGTTATTCTTTGAGATTTCTGAACTGTTTTATTGAAATGAACTTATTTTGCTTTTTATTAAAACTTGTTATAAAGTGCTGTGAATGTCGCGCTCACTTAGCTCCAGGAGGCTGGAATCTCTGCATGAATGTGAAGCTAGTTTCCTAATAAGACGTTCCAGATCGTCTATCTAATAAACATTACACTTTAAATTATCGTTTGAATCATTACTTAGTATTTCAGCGAATCATTAATCTGTTTGGGTTTTTGCCAAGCTTTTCATTCACAACTAAAAAAGTTGAAAAGCTCTTAGTGTTTTGCCCATTACTTGGATTTTTGTATTTAAATTATAGAAAGTTATTTATTTTCTTCACTAATGTTGTTCTTTACCCAATTTATTCTCTTGTGTTCAGATCATTCACTTTTTTGTTTGTGTCGGTTTAAATAAATTGGAAGAAATT